ACTTAAACTGAAAAGCTAAAAGTGGACTATCTAAGCTTCCGTTCAAGCTACAAAGGGGCGAAGGAAGTCATATGAAATCGCACATGTGAAGGAAGGAAGGATGGATAATATCTAATTAATATATCCTCTCCTAGCATCTATTCATATCCCAACAATAATAGCAGCTTGGCTGGGTGGGGCTGCAGGGATGTCAACAAAGCAGGCATGAAGAAGGGGAGAATCAACAACTCCATGGAAAAGGGGTGGGAAGTCGACAAGAAAAAGAGAAAATACGAAATTGTGTTTTGACTCCATATGTTAAAAATGTTGAAACTGAATAAAATATGTATTTTTTAAAAGCAGGCATGAGGGAATTATGTGCTTGGGGGTGTCATTTAGGGAATCACAGAAATAGGATTGGAAGGGACCCCAATGGTCATCTAGTCCAACCCCCTGCAATGGAGGAAGTGTTGCCACCTGCCCACCTATTAGACTACATGTGTTTATTTCTCAGGAGAAGCAAGCATATTTCTTGGTTTATAAGTTATGTGTATCTACGTGTATATTTATACACATTAAAATGCTCTTGAAATGGACTCTTTTTACAGCTGAATATTGAATATCTCTTTCCCCCCCATATTCCATGTATTCTGCAAACTGTGAATTCCCTCCTCCCCACTGAAAAGGTCACCCCCTGCCTCAAATCCCCACACTTATGCATATGTTCACAAAAGCAACAACAACAAGAAAAACCTTCTGGGAAAATATGTCCAAGGCTTTGATGGCAAAAGAGACTAGCCCTGAGTGAAAGGTGTGTGGTTGTGTGTTTTACATATCCCCAAGGGACCCCTCTGACATGCAGGGCACAATCTATGTCACGTCTAGTTTGACCCTAGATCTAAAATGGCCCCTCTCCCCCTCCTCGCTCCTTGCCCCAAATTGGACAGGTGACGACTGGTGCCCACCGGGATTGGTAGGGTGGAAGGCAGGGAGCCCAACAGCAGGGGGCAACAGAGCCAGTGACAGACAGAGCCAACTCAGGCTAGTTTTCTCCCCCCCCCCTTCTCCTTGCTGAGTTCTACAAAGGCAACAGGAAAGACTAAGGAGGAAGGAGCTGGCAGGAGGTGCTGCCACTCCTTCGACTGGATGGCACTAAGAAGGCAGGCAAGTGAGAGGGCAGGCTGAGGTTTGTGGGTCAGTGCCCCGCTTTTGCCTTAATGAACTGGTGAGCAGCGCTCCCTTTTTAAACAGGGGTGGGGAGAGGTGCTGGAGCTCAGAGCTGCCTCGGGTTTTGCCTCCCTTCCCCAGAAACCCCTGCCTTTGACCCCGGTGCGCAAAGGGGTGTCAGCTCATCAAGCTGACAGGACAGGAGCGGAACTCTGCACATGCTCCGATGCACCACTTTTGCCACACCTCCCAGAAAACGGGGGCTTGTTCTGGATCACAATTTCAGGGCGGTGGACAGAAACGTCTCCGCTGGCGGTGGAAGTCAGTGGCAGAGATGGGCGTTTGGGGTAACCAACTGTGGGTATGGGAGGAGGAAGGAAAGCAAGCGGCTAAGAAGACTGATGTTGAAATTAGACACAAGTGAAGTCACACAGGAAGCCTTAGACCGAGTCAGACCATCGGTCCATCCAGCTCAGTATTCCATACACCGGTTGGCAGCAGCCCTCCAAAGTTTCAGGTAGATTCTCAGCCATCTTTACATGGGAATTGAACCTGCAACCATCTGCATGCAAATCTGGGGCACCGCCACGGAGCTCTGGCCCAGTGTTATTTTCCCCATTGAAGACAACCCCCCCAATCCAATTTGAAACACAAGATTCCCCCTTTCCCCCAAATATTAAAGACAGGAGGAGGAGGCCGCCTCGGCTCAGCACTTGCCCCACCCTGGACAGCTCCCCGCTCTCCCGAAGACAGAGCAGCGCCTGGGTTAGTGGAAACACCTGGGCGGATGCTTAGCCGATCCAAAAAAAGGCACCCGGGACAGCTGCTCGCGGTTAGACACCCAGAGGCAGGTGCTGGAGGTTAGGCTCCCGGAGGCGGACGCGGGCCGATGGCGCTGCCCTGCGGGAGCCTCCGCCCAGTCCCGGGCCCTGCTGCTGCCTCTGCTCCTCCTCACCTGCCAGGCTGGCGGATGCAGGCGCACCTGGCGCCGGCCGGGCAGCAGGTGGGACCCTCCTCGATGGGGACCGCCCTGCAGAGCCGTCCCGGGTCGTCCCCCGTCCCCCCCGGGTTGCTGCTCACCTGCCCGAGGCTGCTCCGCTCGCTGCACCCGGCGAGGGCCTTTCCTGCTCGGCGGCAGCAGCGCCGCTGCGTCACGGCCTTATTTGTTCTCCAGGAGAGGAGGGAGGGAGTTGCTTTTAATCCGCCCCCCCTCCCGCCGCCACCGGCATCAGCTGCCCAGGCGAGCCCGGATGGGGCTCAAAGGAAGGAGGGGGGGAAGAGATGCTCTGAAGCAGCCCAGGTATTGGGAGGGGTGCTCTGCAAAGGGCGGCGCGGGGGGGGGGAGATCCTTCAGGGCGGGGCTCTCTGCAAAGGGTGCCCATCCCGCTCCAGCCCCCAAACCAAGGACAAACTCCCTACCTGCGGTTGCCACTTTGCCCGGGGATTCTTGTTTGCAGATAAAATGGCAGAAATCCAACCGGTGCAGCTTTCTCTCGCCCGCTCCCCTGGGGAATGGCGTGGGAGGGGAGGTGGGGGAGCCAGACGCTGTGTTTTTGAAACAGCCTTCTTGGTTATAATCCTGATCTTTCTGCCTGGGGAGTAAGCCCCATTGAATTCACTAGGCCTTAACCTTTGAGATGTGATTAAGGTTACCAGATTTTTTTTTCAGTGAATCCGGAGACTTTTCAACTTAAATGGATTTTGTATGGGGACTGATTTGTAAATCCATGTACTGTCCCCAGGAAAGAGGGACATCCGGTAACCAAAGGTTAAGACTGCCTATGGGAAGTGTGTGAGGTGCATGGATTTCTTTAAACACGCCCTGGCAAAATGGACTCTGGCATGGCTACTCAGGAGTAAGCCCTGCTGAGTTCAGGTAAGCCCAGAGCCTCAGCCTGCATTTTCCACAAAGTCATCCCCACCAATGTTTGGGAGATGGGATGGTAGATTGCCTTTCCCCGAGGTGGCAAAATGGCTTTTAAAGCAGCTTTTAGGGTAGCCTTTGACAACCAACCTGGTCTCCTCGATGTTTGGGTGACTGCAACTGCCATCACATGGGAGTTGTAGTCCAAAATGTCTGGAGGTCACCAGGCTGGCTAAGGTCAGAACATGCTTGGCAAACTGATGCTTTTTAGCTGATTAGTGCTACCTGGTTTGTTCTGTTGTGAATTTTGTGTTTGGAAGCAAATGTACAACTTGATGAATTTATATACTGGATTAAGACTTATTTGGAGATAGTATGAGGACTGGCTGAATAAACTTTGCATTGGTGTGGTCTCTACAATTTGATGTTTATTCTAAAATCATTTATATATACCTATTGATTGTTGGCCTAGGAATATTTTCCTTTTGTCTGTGTAACCCCCCCCCCCATTAGACAATTTCATGGAAGTGGATCTATCAATGTATATTAGTCTTCAGAATTAAATGGTGCCCCCACATTCAAAGGCAGTCTACCTCACAATGTAGGCTGCAAACAGGGAGATCTTCACATTCCACCTGTGAGCTCTCCAAAAAACTGGATGAGGCGTTCTGTTACCTACTCTGGCATAAAGGAAACAATTCTTCTATTTATCAATTTGCTTAGCCAAATAATTCTCTTAACCAAAATTGTAGATAACTGTAGATACAGAACCAAAACTGTAGATAAAGCATGACTAAGATTCACCAAACATTCCCTGGCACTAGACCAGGCAGAGGGTCTTCTTAGCAGTGGCGCCTGCCCTGTGGAACACCCTCCCATCAGATGTCAAGGAAATAAACAACTATCTGACTTTTAGAAGACATCTGAAGGCAGCCCTGTTTAGCGAAGTTTCTAATGTTTGATGTTTTATTGTGTTTTTAATATTGTTGGGAGCCGCCCAGAGTGGCTGGGGAAACCCAGCCAGATGGGCAGGGTATAAAAAATAATTTATTATTATTTCCATCCTGAGCTTTGGCTAAAAAAATGTTTACTACGGAAATCTTTATACAGCGGTACCTCGCAAGACAAATGCCTTGTAAGACAAAAAACGCGCAAGACGAAAGAGTTTTCCGTTTTTTGAGTCATTCCGCAAGACGAAATTCCCTATGGGCTTGCTTCGCAAGACGAAATGTCTTGCGAGTTCTTTTCCTTTTTCTTAAAGCCGCTAAGCCGTTAATAGCCGCTAAGCCGCTAATAGCCGTGCTTTGCAAGACGAAAAAACCGCAAGACGAAGAGACTTGCGGAATGGATAAATTTCGTCTTGCGAGGCACCACTGTAATATCTGTAATTCTCAATAGAGGTCTTGAAAACTCCCAAACTAATAGCAGAAGGGACTTGGCTGAGCTGATTTCTCCATTTAAGATACAACACCCCTCCAGTCAAAGACAAAAAGCATTTTCCTCAATATCAGCCATCTCTGATTGATGACCAGCAGGGGATGCCCAGCTGTTGGTGCTTCCTGGCTGGTACTGACAGAGCCTTCTCAGTGGTGGTTCCCAATTTGTAGAATGTCTTCCCTGGCAAGATGGTCAGAGAAAACCTGCTCCAGCAGTGCCCAATCAAACACTGAGAAATTATCCTGCAAAGCTGACCTTGACTGGCAGCATAGACTGCCCCCTTCAGGGTAGACACACCAACCCACTGTCTTCAAGAATCTCAAAAATAAAAATCCACTGTTGCAATAAAGAGAGGTAGCCTTGCTGAGGGAGTAGACACTTGATGGCCTTCACCGAGCCAGACTGTTAACCCCCTGGTAAGCACATTGAACCACAGGTCCAGTATCCCCACCCCGTCATCACCCCCAAACCCCTCAACTAATGCTGCTTACTGCTCAGAATTCCTTGGTCACCACTGCAAAACATCAACCTTGAGATAAACAACAGCTATATGTGTGTGTCGTGTGTGCATATATATATTTTAAAAAAACAAGATAAACAAACAAACAAACAAACAAACACAGAGTCAAACTGAACTTTGGGGCTTCCTTGGCTGTTAAGACAGCAGCAACCCTGCTTCCACCCCACACTGAAAAAAGGGGGCAACTCTCCTCCCCCAGCCTACTGAGCCTCTTTTCTTCTGAGTTCTGGAAAGGGAACTGGCTGTGCCAGCCTTTATGTATCTATATAAAAACACTGAGTAATTTCGTTCAGCACCTCTCCCACAGAGGATCGTGGCTAGAAAAGAGGGAGAGGGGGGAAGAGCAGTTATTGTGCCCTTCTGTCCTTTGCTCAGGAGAAAGGCTTTCTAGATTGCGATTCCTTTTGCTGCAGTTTTCGGATCAGCTCCAGCAGATTCATCTGGAGAGTCAGCTCCTGTAAACAGAAAGCAATTGGTTGTTTTTTTTTACACCACAAAGAGTCCTTTTCTTCCACCCACCCCCAAACGGTCAATATTAGGGTGCAATATGAAGTTATCCATTGGGTTTGGAAGCAGCCAAAATGTATCAAGCCTTAATGCAGTCTCTCTCTTACGTAGCTGCTTGGCTAGTCGCTTGTGGAATCATCTCTAGACAACCAGGAAGGTGTCCCACCCCCTACTTTGGGGGCTCAAATAACTAACATAAACATGTAGGCCATGGATTTATTTGCAAGGCAGCTATATCCTTGGATTACACAGGTATGGGGCAGCATCTGTGGAAAAACCCACCCCGTTCTACACACAGACCTGCGGGTTTGTTGTGATATAAAAGCCAGAGACGCCAGCTTTCTCCAGCGTGTTCTGCTGGTCAACAACTTTCTGATCCAGTTCCAGGACAATCTTCTCGTCCATCATCTGCTGCTCATCATGAATCCGCTGCTCCAGGGCCTGAGTTAAAGGAGGTGGGGTGTAAAGCGCAGAAAACCCAGCTGAGAAAGAGAGACATCTCAGAATCGAACGAGAGGGGGAAACACCAGCCAGTTCAACACGGCTCGCAGTGAAGGACTGCCTGCCATTGTGGTCACAATGGGCTTCCCTTGCCAACGAGCCAAGCTGTGTACTACAGAGGGAGGGAAATGCCCCAAAGCGGCCGCTAGCTAATCACTGCACAAGCACGAGAGGCAACGTTCAAATAGGGAGGCTGCTCTCTCAAGAACATGAAGGCCTTACCTCCAGCTCCCTCTGCTGAGCTGCTTTGAGAAGAGGCAAGTTGTGAGGCTTGCAGCCTTGCTGGGCTTCCTTGTGCTTATACAGCATCTCCTGCTTGAGAACTGCGGAAGGAACAAGCAGCAAAACATTATGTTTTTGTATTGTGGGGGATGCAGAAAGGCTCTGCTCCAAGCTCCTAAAGACCAGCCCGCCCCGCCCCCCGGGAGCTCTGCCAAATATGAACAACATCCCCAACTGCTCCATTTTTCTCTTCTGCAAAGTGTGTTGTGTGGGAGCACATATGTGCCTCTCTGGTCGTGCACAATAATTTGGAACAGCCACCAACCACTTCCTGATCCTGTACTCATCAGCTGGAAGACAGCCCTTGTCTCACTCATTCAGAGGACGAGGAGAAAATCGCTCCCTGTATTTTAACCACCCCTGACTGGCGATTGAGAGAGGCTGTTTGATGAAGGCCTGGCCGATTCCTACAAGGGATCGAGCCCCTCTTACCTCGGTGCTCGTTGTGGAGCTTGAGCCGCTGGTTGTAGAGGTTTCTTTCCATCAGGTGCTGGATATCGAGCAGGCCCTGGACGATCTCAAAGACCGTCCCATCAATGAGTGCCATGGCCAGGTCATTGAGGATGGTATAGGACAGCCTCTGCTGGGAAGAACTGCCAAGAAAGCACAGCACAGAGTCAAGGGAACATCGGGCACCCCTGTGCCACTCAGAAGTTGGTGTCAGGATGGGAAATTTGTGGTCCACCAGAGGTTGCTGAGCTCCAACTCCCATCACATCTGTTGACTCTGGTTTAGGGGTAAAGATCCCTCAATACAGTGGTATCTTGGGTTAAGTACTTAATTCGTTCCAGAGGTCCGTTCTTAACCTGAAACTGTTCTTAACCTGATACACCACTTTAGCGGGGGCCTCCCGCTGCTGCCGCACCGCCAGAGCACGATTTCTGTTCTCACCCTGAATCAAAGTTCTTAACCTGAAGCACTATTTCTGGGTTAGTGGAGTCTGTAACCTGAAGCGTATGTAACCTGAGGTACCACTGTACAAGGGTGGCTTGTGTCCACTGGGACTGGTAGAGCAGAAAGCAGGGAGCCCAACAGTAGGTGGCGCCAGAGCTGATGAAAGGCAGAGTCAACAGTTCATGAAGGAGGCGGGGCTGGCTATTAAGTAAGAAGGCTGGCCGATTGTGGCTGGCTGAGGGCATACCAAGGTTGGTGGGGGCACTGGGGCAAAGCCCCCCATTTTTCCAGATGGTAAAGGTTAAAGGGCCCCTGGATGGTTAAGTCCAATCAAACTTGACTATGGGGTTGTGGCGCTCATCTCGCTTTCAGGCTGAGGGAGCTGGCATTTGTCCACAGACAGCTTTCAAGGTCTGATGGCCAGCATGACTAAACCGCTTCTGACACAACAGGACACTGTGATGGAAGCCAGAGCGCATGGAAACGCCGTTTACCTTCCCGCCGCAGCGGTACCTATTTATCTACTTGCACTGGCGTGCTTTCAAACTGCTAGTTTGCAGGAGCTGGGACAGAGCAACGGGAGCTAACTCTGTTGCGGGGATTCGAACTGCCGACCTTCTGATCTGCAAGCCCAATTGGCTCAGCAGTTTAGACCACAGCACCACCTGTCCCCAATGTCCAGATGGACCAGCCTGCCTCAAGAATAGTTCATAACTATTTTCATAGCCAGCATGCTCTTTTAGGTAGTCCCTGAGATTATGATGAAAATATGCTAAAGAGGAAGTAAAGGTTTATTGTCTCTTTTCAATTTAGAAACTGAAAGCAACTTGCCTTTTCAGCAGCATAAACAGCTCCAGCGGAAACATCAGAATTTTTTTTGCTCCCCTATGCAATATTTGAGGCTTTTGAGATTTTAGGTTCTCTAGTGGCATGAGAAAAGGAGAAAAAAATTATTTCTCCATCCCATGCATAAATTTATCCACCTTCGCCTTATTTGCTTCCCCTGCCTAAACAAAAAAGCATCAGATATCACCACCTTTCCCCATAGGGGCGTTGCTGCAGCAGCCACGAACTTTTTAACAACAAATCTGCCACAATTAATATTTTTATAATATAGAAATAAATGATAAACCCGTTAAATCCTGAAGGCCTCCTCTGATGGCCTTATGATGATTTTGCTGGGCCTTTTTCTGCAGAACTGACTTCAGTTATAAGTTGCTTCGAGGCGTTTTTACGTAGCCAGCAGCTAATAACTGTAATAGCAGTACTAATAATAACAATTAACAGTTTTGTGGTTTTATGTTAGAATTGTGAGCTGCCTTGAGTATCATTTCTGCAGAAAGGTGGAGACACAAAAACACTGCAACAAAATGATTATTATTTAAATATGCGTAATAAATGCATATTAAGCATTTACACCACATCTTTCCCCTAAGTAGCTCAAGATGGCTTCCTCCATAGTTAATCCCCACAACAACCCTGTGAGGTTGGTTAGGCTGACAGGCAGCAACTGGTCCTACGTCACCCCAGTGAGTTTGATGGTTGTGCAGGGATTTGGTCTCCCGTGTCCTATTTTGATACTCTAACCACTACACCAAACTAATAATAACTTGCTGGTTTTGTATTAAAGCAGCGAATTGCCTTGCACACAGTTTCTGCAACAAGGTGAAAGCACCACCACCAACAACTTGCCACTTTGTGGTTTTAAAATGAAAACGGTGAGCTGCCTCGAGGAGGGTTTCTGCAGAAAGCTGAGACACCAACCATTGCAATTAATTATTATTACTACTGTTACTACCACTGTCTGCTGCTTTGCGGTTTTTCAGATTAAAATTGTGAGCTGCCTCAAGTGCCATTTCTGAAGGCAGAAACACAATACACTGCCATTATTATTATCACCTGCAGTTTTGCATTAAAATTGCGAGATGCCTCGAGTAGTTTCTGCGGAAGGGCGGAGACGCATACCAGAGCAGCGAAATAAGTAATAATAAACTATGAGCGGAATGTAATTGAAATTAGTAAGATTTTGGAACGCAGAATTAAAGAAAACCATCCATTCTAGCACGCGGGGGCCCACCTTATCTACATTATACCATTCGCTGTTTGATCGATTGGTATTAGTAACGGTATTATAAATTGGTATTGTTATAACGAGGCTATTATTGGATTGTAATGGAAAACTGATATAAATTATTATATCTGAAAATAAATAGTAATAATAATTCGCAGTTCAGTGGTGGTTGTTTTTTAAATATTGAAATCGTGGGCTGCCTCCAGTCCCGTTTCTGCAGAAAGGTAGACGAAGATAATACAAATAATAAAATAACAACAACAACAACAACAATAGGATGTAATATCCTCCAGCAGCATCCTGCCCCCCTTTCCCTTCCCCCTTTTTTATTGGGGGGGCTTTTCCTTCCTCAAGCCCCTCAGGTGTGGGGATCCAAGGAGGGAAAGCCATCCCCTGTCCGGGCCGGGCCCTTCCCTGCGCGCTGCCCAGCCGACGGGGGTCCGAGGCGAGGCGGCCTCCGCTTCTTCTCCCCGCACCTGGGCAGGTCCTTGACGAGGGCCTGCAGCTCGGAGAGGAGCTGGTAGTGGCGCTCCTGCTGACGGGCCAGCCGGTCGCCCCCGCCGAAGCCTCCCAGTCCCCCGGCTCCTGCTGCTCCGGCTCCGGAGGCCAGGCTTTCCCCGTCGTCGTCGTAGGCGAAGCCCGCGCCGAAGCGCGCCATGGCTGAGGGAGGCGGCTAGGCCCAAGCGCCGGACTCCGCCTCCCCGAGCGCCTTCCCCTCGCGCGCGCTCCCTCCGAGAGGGGCCTGCCCTTAAAAGCCAGGCGCTGCTTGCCGTGCCCGCCCACGGTGCCTCTGGCCGTGGGCAGAGGGCTGTCCTTCTCTCCTCCGCCGAAGCAGAACCTGCCCTGAAGTGCTTCGCTTTTGAGTGTGCAGAATGAGGGCTGGGTGCTTCTGAGCATGGACAAAGCGCCCTTCTAACCCCCCCCCCCAAATCAGAACCTTAAGTGTTTTCTCTGGCTTTTGGGTGTGCAGAATGAGGGCTAGGTGCCTCTGAGCATGGGCAGAGCGCCCTTCTACCCCCCAATCAGAACCCTAAGTGTTTTCTCTGGCTTTTGGGTGTGCAGAATGAGGGCTGGGTGCTTCTGAGCATGGACAAAGCGCCCTTCTAACCCTCCCTTACCCAAAGCAGACCCTGAAGGGTTTTCTTTGGCTTTTAGAAGTGCAGAATGAGGGCTGGGTGTTTTTGAGCATGGGCAGAGCGCCCTTCTACCCCCCCCCCCCAAAGCAGACCCTTAAAGTGTTTTCTCAAGCTTTTAGGTGTGCAGAATGAGGGCTAGGTGCCTCTGAGCATGGGCAGAGCGCCCTTCTACCCCCCCAATCAGAACCTTAAGTGTTTTCTCTGGCTTTTGGGTGTGCAGAATGAGGGCTGGGTGCTTCTGAGCATGGACAAAGCGCCCTTCTAACCCTCCCTTACCCAAAGCAGAACATGAAGGGTTTTCTCTCGCTTTTAGAAGTGCAGAATGAGGGCTGGTTGTTTTTGAACATGGGTAGAGTGCCCTTCTACCCCCCCCCCCCCGCTAATCAGAACCTTAAGTGTTTTCTCTGGCTTTCGGGTGTGCAGAATGAGGGGTAAGTGCTTTTGAGCATGGACACAGCACCCTTTACTTCCTATACCCCCTCCCAAAAGCACAACCCGATGTGTTTTCTCTTCCTTTTGCCTGGGCAGAATAAGGACTGGATGCCTCAAAGCATGGGCAGAATGCTGCCACCTCTAAAACAAAAACTGAACAATTTCTCTTCCTTTTGCGTATGCAGAATAAGTACATAGTAATGGCTAAGTGCCTCTGGACACGAGCAGAGTGTTCTTAGCAGAATAGCAGGGTTTTGTGACATGAGGATACAGCAATGAATTATTTCTGAGCATGTACTCATAAGAAATAGCATTTAAAAAAATAATCACAGGAAGCAGAGAGAGTATTTGAGCAGAGTTCTACTCAGAAGTAAGTCCCATTGAATTCCGTGGGGTCTACTCTCGGGTAAAAGGGGTTAGGACTGCATCCTATTGTGTTCAGGTTTGAGGCCTACCAGCCTATATTTATCACTCAGGCCACTGGGGGTTGAGCAACCTTTGCCCATGTGTCTACTTTGGCATCCCGAGACCACATACACCGGTTTGGCCGCTGAGACCACATAACACCGGTCTTGAAAGACCTACATTGGCTCCCAGTACGTTTCCGAGCACAATTCAAAGTGCTGGTGTTGACCTTTAAAGCCCTAAACGGCCTCGGTCCAGTATACCTGAAGGAGCGTCTCCACCCCCATCGTTCTGCCCGGACACTGAGGTCCAGTGCCGAGGGCCTTCTGGCAGTTCCCTCATTGCGAGAAGCAAAGCTACAGGGAACCAGGCAGAGGGCCTTCTCAGTAGTGGCGCCCGCCCTGTGGAACGCCCTCCCATCAGATGTCAAAGCGATAAATAACTACCTGACATTCAGAAGACATCTTAAGGCAGCCCTGTTCAGGGAAGTTTTTAATCTGTGATATTTTACTGTATCTTTGGTTTCTATGGAAGCTGCCCAGAGTGGCTGGGGAAACCCAGCCAGATGGGCGGGGTACAAATAATAAATTATTATTATTATTATTATTATTATTATTATTATTATTATTATTATTATTATTATTATTATTATCCCCTGGGTCACTGCTGGCAACCACAGGCTGTGCCTTTTTTTTTTAAATTCTCTTTATTTATTTCACACACCCTTCCAAAAAAGATACAAACAAAAAAGAAAAAATACAAAAAAGAAAAAATACAAAAAAGAAGAAACAGGCTGTGCCTTTTAAATGCTCTCCTGCTTCCTTGGTGCCCACCAAAGTCTCCTTCCTCCAAAACCACCACTTGTGTTGCCTCTTGGAGTCATCCTGACTCCAGGGAAAAGCCTCCCCCTCTCCTCACCCACCAAAGGATATTGCAGAGTTGGAAAAAGGTTTAACAAAGGGCAGCCCATATGATCAAGGGGGTGAAGAAAGGTTGTGGCGTTTGGAACTTTTGAAAAGGTAAGAGCTGACATGGTAGAAGTTTATAAAATGAGGGCTTGCCGATCGAAAGGTCGGCGGTTCGAATCCCTGCGGCGGGGTGCGCTCCCGTCGTTCGGTCCCAGCGCCTGCCAACCTAGCAGTTCGAAAGCACCCTCGGGTGCAAGTAGATAAATAGGGACCGCTTACTAGCGGGAAGGTAAACGGCGTTTCCGTGTGCGGCTCTGGCTCGCCAGATGCAGCTTGTCACGCTGGCCACGTGACCCGGAAGTGTCTTCGGACAGCGCTGGCCCCCGGCCTCTTGAGTAAGATGGGCGCACAACCCTAGAGTCTGGCAAGACTGGCCCGTACGGGCAGGGGTACCTTTACCTTTACCTTTATCATTTTGAGAGTGGATAGAGAAAAGTTTCTTTTCCTCTAGATGTGGTGGACATCCAATGAATGTTGGAAGATTCAGGACAGATTAAAAAAAAAAGTCTTTCACACAACACATAGTTAACCAAGGAACTCTCTCCATGGATGGCTTTAGAATCGGATTTGCACATTCGTGGAGAGGGCTTTCAGTGGCTACTAGCCACAATGACTGTGGTGGAATCTACACACATTTTAAAAAGCACTGTGAAAATGTTTTTTAAAAAACATTTTTTTTGGGGGGGGAATACATTGAATTTGCCATAGCTCACTGTTGCCATCTAGTGTCACATTTGTATATTGCACTTTAAAACGCACTTAAAATGCCTTATTTGCGGCTGTATAGCTGAGTCCTGTCTCTGTGGTCAGAGGCAGCAATGCTTCTGAATACCAGCTGATGGAAATCACAGGAGAGGAGAGCACTCTTGCTTGGGGGTTTTCCACAGGCATGTGGTTGTCCACTGTGAAAGCAGGAATGCTGGACTAAACGGGCCACTGGCTTGATCCAGCAGCCTCTTCTTATGTTCTTAAACCTCTCAGATCACCCCTCTGATTCCCTTTGCACTTTGTAGGCCACTCTTCCCTAATCCAGTGCCCCCTGAGGCTGATGCCCCCAAGCAACCAAAGGGCACCAGGTTGGGGAAATCTGCTGTCGGCTGTATCGAGTCTCCCACAATTCCTTGCACTCCTCTCCCCCCCTCCTCTCCCCACAACCCCACTCAATAGCTACCAGATGTAGGTCCCAGGCATCTTCCTAATTCGTCTGGCAAGAGCCTCCGTGCAGTTCTCGGCTGCCTGCCTGTCTCTGGGAAGGGCTGGGTTCCTTGTGGGAACCGCAGCGGTGCCCAGAGATGTTTAATTTGGCAAGGAGCTTGCGGGGTACCGCTAGAGTAACGCTGATGCCTCTCGCAGGCCTTCTTGAGGTGCTCTTGGCAGGCCTGGGCAGTGGGGGAAATTGGGTGGTGGAGGTTGCATCAAAGGGCCCGTCAAAACGTTTGCAGCCAGTCCAGAGATCCCCTTCCATTTCCTATTGAATTTCGATGAGCAGGCACCAGGAGGCGCACAACTGGGATATGCTGGGGTGAGAGCTGCTCAGGGGCAGGCTTAATTCTGTAAACTGGGGGCCCAATCCATTGAGAAGTTTATGCCATTGCAGTTTGCCTCAATCCTTTTCTGTTACATCACTTCTCCAGGAGTGTTCAATCCTTTGGCTGCAGGGTTCCCTTTAGGACACATGCTTGCTGAAGCAGCACCCACCATTGTCTGGGGAAATGGCCTCAAAGGGATAACTCCAGCAGTTGTCAGAGTCTTTTATTTCTAGCGCAAATCTGAACTCGTGGTTTCTCCGTATGGTAGAGAAGAACGGGGTAGGTAGGGAGGTGGTGGTGAGACAGTTTGGCCTAGCAAAATGGGAGAAGCGTTTTAGAAAATGTGCTCAGTGCTGCGTCTTATTTACGGTAAATCCCTGGTATGAAGATCACCAGGGACGCGGGTGGCGCTGTGGGTTAAATCACAGAGCCTAGGACTTGCCGATCAGAAGGTCGCCGGTTTGAATCCTGACAACGGGGTGAGCTCCCGTTGCTCGGTCCCTGCTCCTGCCAACCTAGCAGTTCGAAAGCATGTCAAAGTGCAAGTAGATAAATAGGTACTGCTCCAGTGGGAAGGTAAACGGCGTTTCCATGTGCTGCTCTGGTTCGCCAGAAGTGGTTTAGTCATGCTGGCCACATGACCCGGAAGCTGTACGCCGGCTCCCTCGGCCAATAAAGCGAGATGAGCGTCGCAACCCCAGAGTCGGCCACGACTGGACCTAATGGTCAGGGGTCCCTTTACCTTTTATGAAGATCACCAAAGTCAGAGGCAGTAATGCTTCTGAATACCAGTTGCTGCAAACCACAAGGGGACTGGGAGAGTGCTCTTGTGCTGCTTGTAGGCTTTCCCCCCTGCAGGGCCAGGGCTCCAGCAATGCGGGGCCTCTCTGCTCCTCAAAGGTTGAACGGAGGCTTGTGCTAGCATCTACCCAGGCCCACTTACTCCGCACCTTTCAAATCTCAGAATGGATAGTTCCTTCTGGCTATGCTCTGTCTCCACGACTGAAGGCAGCAATGCTCCTGAATACCTTGCTGGAAGCCACAGGAGGAGAGCATTCTTGAACTTGGGTCTTGCCAGTTTCCCACATGCATTTGGTTTGCCGCTGTGACAACAGGATTCTGGACTCGATGGGTCATCGGCCTGATCCAACAGAGCTCTTTTTATGGTCTCCCAGTGGCTGGCTATGTTGCAGGGGCGATGCTCCACCAGGAACCAAACAGACTTTGCTCGCTCACTTTGGAGGCTCCTGCATACAACCGGTTTATACAACATTCACTTTGATTTGCTTGCACAGAGCAGAGAATGGAAAGGTGTCGCTGTGCTGCGCTGCTGCGTCCTCCACAGCACATATTTTGGGTAAGGAGGCCAAGGCATCAGCTGAGGCGGCTCACGTGGGCCCTAATGAAAGCCAGACCCTGCCATAGTGATGACATTGGGCTGT